AGTAAAAAATTTATACTGTGCACAAATTTATAATAGTGTTCTCATGAGAACTCTGAGAACACTAATTTCGAACACTGCTGATAATACTATCGAGTTATATATATTGTATAAAAATCAATTTTTTAAGCTTGTATGGTCTAATATAATTTTTATTTTTATATTATTTTTTTGTGTAGAAATTTTTTTAGTTTAAATTTTATATTTAATTAGATTATTTACTAAAAAAACAAAAGCTATAAGTTTAAAGCAAATAATTATATATGAGTTTCGCCAAAAGAAAACCCGACAATTTAAATATAGACTATATTTAAATTGTCGGTTTTTTTTTGGCGGCACTCATATATTATATTGTATATTGTAATTATTTTTAATACAGTATTTACAGTGGTTTTAAATTGATTATTTAATGATATTTTTAATTAATTACTGTTAGCATAATTTGATAACGTTTTTATGTAAAGTAGAAATTAATATAACAATTCGCTAACATTTTACTAGAAACAAAAAAAAACTAAAAATACAGATATTTATATAATATGTTCCAAAAATATACGCGTCTGATACTTGGAGATGTTTGTATAACTACTGTAGCACAAATAACATAAATATTCCGTACTATTATTTTAAGAGAAACTGGATATACAATTTGAAAAAACTAGACGAATAGTAAATATATACGTATAAAAAGGTTTTTTAAAATCTTGTCGATCATGCTTATAAGAACTTTGTTTAACCTTATTACAGTATTATGGTTGTCAAATTGGGATTATTCAAATTTATTTAAATAAAAAGGTTAGACCTAGTTAATAAAAGAAAACTAAATTTTATAAATGTTCTATTATTAATGTAAATTTTACAAAAAATAAGTGACCAGCTTTTTTAAATTTTAATCATCTCGAGAATGATTTCATCATCATCAGAATTTTTTTTTTTTTTTTTTACTATCTAACGTCCTCAAACAACATCTTTTCCTACACATGACCACGCTTAGTAGTAGTAAAGAAAGATTTCACTGTAAAAACTTGTATAGCAGCCATTGTAACGATCACCGCACTCTCCAACAAAGCAAACCATAAAATTCTATTCTCAGTACTTTTAACAGTAGAGAAATTTCTATTTTCTCTTGTCCTAAAATATTTTTGAGTTCTAGATATAGTACTCAAACTACTGCTAAGCCTTAAACAGCTTTCTTCCATACTACTTGTTTGATCGGGTGTAATTCCTTTCGATGGTGGTAATTCAGCTCGTGGTTCATTTTCAATGGTAATCTCAAAATCTACAAGTTTTTCTGCAAATGTTGACATATCATTTGCAAAACAGAAAGAATATTCTCCAACAAAATTTGCTGTGAATACAAAATCTCCTTGACGTTCTCGTTCACCACTAATTACTGCTTTACCACGTGGGTCAGTTACTACGTAGTCTATGTCAAAGGAACCACCAGATTGTACCTAATATTAGTATCAACAAATAATTATTATCTCTGCTTGTGAAATATTTATGAATAACCCCTCAAAAAATAATTTATTTTATAAATTTATATATTTCAAATAAAATAAATTCTATACCATCTACAGCTAAAAACTTACCGCAAAATAAAAGGCAACTTTTTCACCCGGTTTGTCTGCCCAAGCATAAAAACAGGCTCTTTCATGAGCTGCTACATTATATGTCAGGGAAGTTCCTTCTAAGGATCTCGGAAATATGATGAATAAAAATATAAGTACAACGTATAATAGTGAAGAAATTGGTTGTTTCCCCATTCTTTCTGAGTGTATTTTGTTCGTAATCTCGAATAATTGGCATTTATAGTCCTATTTTGATATATGACGATAGACCTGATTGGCTAATTTACCATAATGCTGTAACAGGTAACTGATAACGGTAATACGAGATACATTTGATGGTTTTCAGGGGTATAATTCAGTTCAAACTTTGGTTTATACCCCAGCAAAATTGTATCAAGAAAATAATTTATTTCTTATTCAGAATTCTAAATGTAAATTGAAATTAAGTAGGTTGTTATAGATCACATCCTCGTAGCATGCTAAATCTTTATCGCGAGGATGTGATTCTACTGTAGAAAAAGTTTGGCTGTATATATAAAATTTGTTTATATAATCGCTCAATTCATTATCGAACGAATTTGTGCTTATAAAATTTTATATGTCCACGTCCAAATAAATTTTGTTGGATATAATCCAAACACCAACACTTTTTAGTAACGATCTAATCAATTTCAACATTAAGAATTCTAAGAATTTGAAAATTTTAAAATAGCCTCAAGCACTAAAGTCAGATTTTAAACATTATCATTATAGTAATCTGATTAGACGTAATCGCAAAATATTTTATACATACCAAGTGAAAAATAAATCATTTAATCTTATAATCTCTCAAATCCACCTATTGAAAATAATATTTTGTTGCAATTGAAATCACTATGTATTTCTTTTGAATATTTATTATACATCTTGTTTAAGACATCTTGTTTGAGACATCTTATTTGAGAGATCCGTTTTTTTTTTTTTTTTTTTTTTTTTTCGTATTGTATATATTAACAAATGAATATTAATAATTGCAGGCATCATGATATATCTTTGTTTAAAATGTTCATCTCCACCAAATTATATTTCAAAAAAATTATACACTATCATTTTTATATTATTATTATAAAAATTTTCATTTCATTTTCTTGTTCTGCGCATTCTCGCCATCGTCTGTTTCAGATGCCTGTAAGGATCATCCGTTTTTTTAGAACGTCCTATTTGAATTCTTGACTGTGGTAGAACATCATAATCAAATGCTGCAGGTTGAGGAATACGAGCACGAACTAATGAAGATGTGGATTGTAATGGTTGGCGGTCTTCAGTACTTCTAAAATATTATAATTCCGTTAATACTCTTATTCAAAGAAATAATTTATTAAATAATAATAATAATAAAAATATATAAAAGTACGCACTCCATAGAATTATGATGCATCGGTACTCTCATCCTAAAAAAATAATAAAAATATGATTAATATATAATTTTCATTATTAACATTTATTAACGTTCAAAAGAACTTAATGTAAAAACATTACTGTTCGGGATCATATTCAACACGTGGCAATTGTCTGTCTTTGTAGTTAACAGAAATTCCGAGGATTGGTTGACCCCATTTATTAACTAGATTAGTAGCCATTTTTTTAATATGCTCTGTGCTACGCGGTGATTCTTGATAAAAAAATACAATTCTTCCAATTTTGCTAGTAAGGAGATGATCAATATTGATTGGATACTAAAATAAAGATATTTTAATCATTAAATAATAATAAATTTATAAATGATTAAATAAAAAAATTTATTTACATACTTTATCTAATACAGTCAATAATTGTTCTTGAAGTGTTATGCTTGGTAATGATCTATCAGGGAGAGGTTCTAACCAATATCTAATAGCATCTAAGATGTTATTCTCTAATAACGCATCCAACATATAAGTCTTGGATAATTCTCGCACTACAATCTCAAGATTATCTAGTTTTCTACTTGCAGGTTTTCTATTTTGGCAATTGTTTACATCATCATCCGCAAGTTTCATCATTCTTCTGTATAATCTGTCTGCCGTAGCATCATATTCCTTTTCAATGTCAATTCCTTTTGATTTAGATCTACCTTTCTTCTTTGGCATTAATTCGTCAAATAATTTCTCAACCATCATTTTTGACTCCATTAAAGGCGCCAATTCATGAGAACCTTCTCTTCTTGCATTATCCTCATCTTCATCTCCATCTCTTATTTCATCTCTTCCTTTTTTTCGTCTTGGCTTCCTTTTTTTTTCTGATGTCTTTCTTTGCTTTCTCTTCGCAGGTTGAGCAACATACAATTCCTCATCTTCATCTCGATCGCCTTCTGGAGTTGAACGCTCATCTTGCCTATAGGGTGAAGGTGAAGGTACAGGTGAGGAACTTCTTTCCCTATATGTTTGTGACTTTTTTTTCAATGTTTGATTGGTAACTGGTCTTTCATTATCTGAAAATTCTTCATCAAAGTCTGACAAAAAATCTGCGACATCAGAAAGTTCTGCCGAACCATCGCCAAAAAGTTCTTCATAATCTTTTTCTTTTTGCCTATCTTTTCTAGACATTTTATGGGTTAAGCGCTAAAAAAAATATATATATATATTTTACAGATCGTACATTCAAAAGCTTTTTTTTGTTGTATTTGCTGTATTGTTGTTAGTCACCGTAAAACTTTGATTGGATCAAACGTGACCGGATGACCCTACGGCAGGGACGTGGAAAATTTCTCTTGATTCGTCTGATTGCTGAAATTCCCTGATAGTTACGTATTGTTCAGAAGCGACGGACGAGTGCTTAGAAAAATAATTCGAGTGTGTGGACAATATTTTTTTTTGATTATGACGAGTGAAAATAACATAGCAATGAATATTGGGAAAATTTAACGAGTTTAAATTCGTCGTCTAGAAAACTTAAATTCGGATATTTATTGCCGGTAATATATATAGCAAATAAAATTTTTCGATTAGGTATATTGTATTACTATATATATATATATATATAGTTTAGATAACAATTTTTATTATTGCAAAAAGTTAATTTTAAAATTTTGTCGGTATGTGATTAATTCTGCTATTAGAGATCTGTTAATGAAGAGCCAGATTGGAACCAAGAAAAGCCACCTAACGTTTTATCTCTTGCTTTAAGAAGGAATAAGAACACAAGGAACTTTTGAAAGGATATCTCAAGAAACTTTATAGAAATAACAGATAGCACCTCAAGATATGTATATGGACTCACAACATGAACATGAAAATTTCAGGAAAATTTGAATGACGGGAAATATCAACCAGAAGTAACAGTGAGTCTTACATATTGCGATTATAGTTATGTTTATAGAAAGACGTTCAGCATGTAACTTTCTATGATTACTTTCCATTTATTGAATAAATAATATTCACGATTAGCCAAGAAAACGGGGCTCAATCTTGATGAAAGTGGAATTAAGGATGAACATAAAGCGTTCGATTATTATCAAAAATCTGCTAATATGGGCAATTTCACCGGGATAAACAATGTTGACGGATAATTACGAGATTGGATAAATATATAGCATTCACTTGTTATCAAAAATATGCAGATATGGACAATGTTCAATCTTGGATATTGTTATGAGGAGTCGAAAAAGATGACAATTCACAATGCGAAGAAATTTCTAAAGTTACCAAATATAATAACAATGGCAGTGTTAGAACTTTCTTGAAATCAGATACTATTCATACCAATTTTATCTCTTGACAACGCTGAATCATATAATAAAAGGCTTGATGACCAAGAAGTTATTTCCTTAGGGAGAAATCTTTATGATTCAACACAAATATTTCTTTATATATTAATTCAACAATCATCTGATCATTATCAATCATTTGGTCATTATATCTCGTCGTTCTTATGGCAAGTGATGGTTGCCGTGTAGCTTTCGATCAAATGAAAATGGCGGTTTAATACTATTCGTCATAAATGTGATAGTCACGCAAGATTTATTATAGGCTGTGGAAACGATTCATACATCATTGTTAAAGCAAGTAAATTCAACAAGAAGTATAAGAACACTTGCGAGTCTTATATTTAATATTTTTACGGATATATGAATACATCTAAAATGTCAACAAAATCATTGGCATATTTTTCCGAAGCAATTTGGACTTTGCAACATGTTGGATCATAATATTGGGCACTAGATGCAATCGTTATTCAAATTGTATAACTTAATTGTATATATTAATGATAACTGTTGCAGATCTTAATGAAATCAGATCGTGAAATTTAGGGGTCTCAATTTAAATATGTAAGCTCTACCAAAATCTATTTATACTCTTTTCTTAATAATTCTAACCTTTAACCCTTAATTGGATTAGAAATCAAGAAGGAATGGCGTTAGCGAAGTATCTTCGCACGTTAACATCTCTGAATCTTTATGGATACTGTGAAACTTATTCACCTCTCATTGTTATTCAACCAAAAGAAGGAAAAGAACAACACTTGAAAGATTTAAAAATTCAGTGGTTTATTATTGGATCAGAAGCAGAGAAAGTATTAGCAGATGCGTTGATTTCTTTGGATCTTGTGCAACAACTACACCCTTGTTATACTTAGTTAATCTCTTTTTAACTTTTTCATCTTTATTAGTACAAAATGCATATTCTTGCATATAAGTTATTAACTTCTTTTGCATTAAATATATTTTTTATATGTAATCTTTGATGTTTGATACTTTCTTAATAAATTTTTGATATTTGTTATCACATTTTCAAAACGTTTAAATATGAAATAATATTCTTTTCTTTATCACTTCCTATATATTTTCAATGGCATGTTTCGCAACATAATTTGACAAATTTTTTTATTACACTTCACATTCTCTTAAATCTGAAAATTTATTTAGCTATAATATTTATTATACAACCTATAGGGCAATTATGCAAAAATAAAGAGTTATGGCTTTCTATTCATAAAGAAAATTAAAGCAATAATTGATTATCAAGTGCAGTTTCCTCCTCTAGTGCTAGTTATAAATCAAATAAGGGTATTTCGATCATATCATGTGTATATCAGTCGAAATCTAGTTGTCGAGACTTCAACACCTATATTCGGATGGATTGTAATACATCAATAGTAATCAATACTAAGTATTACTAAGTAAAGTTACTATTTCCTGCATGAAGATG